TCAGAATCATGTCATCTTCAACGTGGGGGGGGGGGGGTGTAACTTATTTTTGAGGTATCGGTTTTCTGGACTCCTCTGTGGTAAGACATATTGTGTGTTTGGTGAGAGGTCCTTCTAACTCGATGACTGGAAAATATACCCTATGAACCCACCTGGAATTTTCCTATTGTGGGCCAGTCATTAAAAACCTTGACCACATAAAAAATCTAAAGGCACATGTACGTATGTAAGAGTAATTCCAAAAAATATACCACGGCGTTTACTCGAATCTACACTAATTATTGTAAATTGTTATCTATCTTTACAGTTGATAGGAGGGGGGGGGTCGTAGCTAAGCTGTTCAGTGTGTGCTCTCAACTTTTGTCAATCAGTTGCATTACGAACTTTATATTGCAGGGTTCCCTTTGTAGATAAGATTTCAGCATCTGTCCCCTCCCCCCCTCTCTCTCTTGCTTCCTCTTTCTTACTATTACCTCTTCATTCTACTCAGTTCTTATCTTTCGATGGCATGTGGCAATGTTTCCCAGTAGTGTTGGACTTTTATGCAGAACACTAACGTATCCCATTAGACAACATCGACCCTGTTCCCTTATCAAGTGACCTTCATTCGTCTTTGTTCGTGACTCATTATAAGTATCCCCCACACATGGAGCGACTTTTACCTTACTTTTCCTCGGATAGGTGTCCTTCCCTTCCTTCAAGCTACTTGTTTGTAAAGCTTCAACCGGTATCCTTTCCTTATTTTCACCTCTGTTGAACTAAGATTTACTCAATCTTTGGTACAAACTTTTTTTTTCTTCTTCTTTTTTTATTTCTTCGTGACTTGGGTTTAATCTACCTTTGATTGTGCAATTTATGAGCCACTCGGACTATCAAATAATTATAACTTCAAACGTTCTCTTTTCCATCTAAACATCTCTGAAAGTCGAGAACTCCGTTCCGCCGAGAGCTAAGTCGGACCCGTGAGTAAGGCGTGGATGTGGACTCCTTGTTTAACAGTGAAGAAGGTCGTTTCCATATGAAGTAAGTTTGCGATTAGGTGCGTGATGAAACACCTGTTACAAAGGTCTCCGAAACTTGTAAATACAGGAAATATATATTATATATATATATATTATATATATATATATTATATATATATATATTATATATATATATATATTATATATATATATATATAATATATATATATATATTATATATATATATATTATATATATATATATTATATATATATATATTATATATATATATATAATATATATATATATATATAATATATATATATATATATAATATATATATATATATTATATATATATATATTATATATATATATATTATATATATATATATAATATATATATATATATTATATATATATATATAATATATATATATATATAATATATATATATATATATTATATATATATATATAATATATATATATATAATATATATATATATATTATATATATATATATTATATATATATATATTATATATATATATATATATATATTATATATATATATATTATATATATATATATATTATATATATATATATATATATATATTATATATATATATATATATAATATATATATATATATTATATATATATATATATTATATATATATATATTATATATATATATATAATATATATATATATATATATTATATATATATATATTATATATATATATATTATATATATATATATTATATATATATATATATAATATATATATATATATTATATATATATATATTATATATATATATATTATATATATATATATAATATATATATATATATATATTATATATATATATATAATATATATATATATAATATATATATATATATTATATATATATATATAATATATATATATATATTATATATATATATATATTATATATATATATATAATATATATATATATAATATATATATATATATAATATATATATATATAATATATATATATATAATATATATATATATAATATATATATATATAATATATATATATATATATATTATATATATATATATAATATATATATATATATAATATATATCCGAAACTTGTAAATACAGGAAATTCTATGATGCAAATCTCATTGTCTATAAAGACATCTACTTATCCCTATTGGTAGTTCTAAAAGTCGTGAGAAAACTTTGCGCATCGCGTCCTTCTACACAGGGCCATGAAATTCTCCATAACACACACAAAAAAATTATTTTACCCCTAGTCGTTGCGGTTGTCCCCAGGACAAGTGGTGTTCTACGTTCAGTCCTTAATTAAGGAGTCATTGATAGATACTTAACAGTGCCCACTCCTTTCACCATGGATTTCTCAGAAGAAATTAAGCTTATTTTGTTTTATACAGCCTTTTCATGTACTCATTTGCAGGGTATGGATTGAGGCTGAGAGTAGCCTAACATTTTTTTGTGGCTTAGCTCAACAAAATCTTAAAATCAAC